TATTTAGAAACAGGAAAACTCTACCATGATTTTCAACGTATACAAGACTCTGAAATTCTATGAAGTCCAACAAACAATTCTCTGAATTCCCACAAGGAATTCTCTGAATTATGGCATGGATTTTTCTGAATCCGGAAATCAATTCTCTGAATTCCGGCAAGTAATTCTCTGAATTCCAACAAGGAACACTCTGAATTCCAACAATGAACGCTCTGAATTCCAACAAGCAATTCTCTGAATTCCAACAAGGAATGCTCTGAATTATGACATGGAATTCTCTGAATCCGGAATTGAGTTCTCTGAATTCCGGCAAGTAATTTTCTCAATTCCAACAAGAAATTCTCTGAATTCCCACAAGGAATTCTCTGAATTATGACATGGATTTTTCTGAATTCCGGCAAGTAATTCTCTGAATTCCAACAAAGAACACTCTGAATTCCAACAATGAACAGAGCGAATTCCAGTAAGCAATTCTCTGAATTCCAACAAGGAATTCTCTGAATTATGACATGGAATGCTCTGAATTCCAACAAGGAATTCTTTGAATTATGGCATGGAATTCTCTGAATCCGGAAATGAATTCACTGAATCCGGAAATGAATTCTCTGAATTCTGGCAAGTATTTCTCTCAATTCCAACAAGGAATTCTCTGAATTCCAACAAGGAATTCTTTGAATTCCGGCAAGCAATTCTCTGAATTCCAACAAGGAATTCTCTGAATTATGACAAGGAATTCTCTGAATCCGGAAATGAATTATCTGAATCCCAACAAGGAATTCTCTGAATTCCAACAAGGAATTCTCTGAATTCCAACAAGGAATTCTCTCAATTCCAACAAAGAATTCTCTGAATTCCAACAAGGAATTCTGTGAATTCCAAAAAGTAATTCTCCGAATTATGACATGAAATTCTCTGAATCCGGAAATTAATGCTCTGAATTCCAAGCAACTGAATCTGATCAGTAGCGGTGCGGCTTCTTCCTCCTTCTTGATAGCTAGCTGCTTGCGAGGGCCTTTCGTTGTGTACTGGAGAATAATGTTCAACGCCACGCGCCGAAAGCACTGCTGCTACTGCGGATGGAATTCCATTTTGAAATCTGTGTTACAGAAGGCGCTTTTCGCGGGCAATCGATGGAAATTTTAATTATCATAACAACAGTTGCACAGCCGTGTAATTTTCAATAGTGACCTTTTTAAAATTGATAGTCTTAATTTAAACAAAAAATTTCCTATCGATGGTCGTACTAAGAATTAAAATTCATCATCTCTAGATCAAAACCAGACTACTTTCATGCCGTGACCGACTTTGGTGTTTGAAATTGCACCCCCAAATGAAACTTTAAAAATACATGGTATGATAGATTTAAACTTATGGGAAACTGGCATCCGATTGATGACCTTGAAAAATGTCCAGAAAATTCTCTCTAACAAATTTATTTTTTTTTATAAAGGACCGTTTTGTCGTGATGGTTGAGTAATGCTGAGCTATTAGGGTATTGAATACACATGAGGCTGGTGAGCATTTGGAACGAGGGTGTCGCGCTTGGCATAGATGGCCCACAGAAACTCACGAAGAGCTACTGAATCCGATCAGTAGCGGTGCGGCTTCTTCCTCCATATTCGCTGAATGGACCGCTTAGGCAGCTCTCGTTGTGTTCTGGAGAATAATGTTCAACGCCACGTGCCGAAAGTAATGCTGCTGCTGTTGATGATGACCACTGGACACCACCACTCACCACACGCGATGAATTAATAAACACCGTTCGGTGAGACCGGAGTGAATTCGATTTTTAAATCTGTGTTTGGGAAAGTGCTTTGCGCAGTCAATCGGTGATAATTTTCAATAGTGCATTCGTGCAATTTTCAATAGTAGATTCGTAGATGACATTCCAATCGATTGACTTGTTTAGAAATAATATCCATCCGCTATTGACAGAGCTATAAGTGATCAAAACCTGACCACTTTTCGTAAAGCGGTCGATTTTGGTTTTTTGAAATACCCCCAATATGTTGCCGAAAGACGTAATCCTACGTCAAAAATATAGTTGTGCTCAGAAAACGAAGTTCTTCCAGATGATGTACAAAAATCGAAATGCAAAATTCAAAATTAAATAGCACAATTCACTAAATGGTGTTACAGGATTTAATGTAAAACAGCATAGTCTCTCAATTCGGCCTATCAAGGAAATAATTAATGTTTAAGAAATTAATCACAATTTTTATTGAGCTCATTGAAAGCTGTGATTCGCAAACAAATCCATTATTTGTCAGAGAAACTCAAAAAAATTCCTGCTCTTTCGGTTTAAAAACTGATGCATGTAAAATTTTTATTCAAATAATGCAAATTGTGTTTGCATAAAGTGATTTTGAAGAGAACAACTAGGTGTTTCAAAGACTAATTGTGATCATGTGATAATTGAACGTTAATTAGTTGTTTATCGTTCCCAATTAGGTTCTTAACTTTGAAACAATATATCGGTTATTACACATCAACTGAAACAGATTAGTTTTCTAACCTTTTTTTGATCCCATAGATTACCATCTCGATGTTTAAATCAAGATTTAAAGCAACATAATAACATCGCTTTTTCACGCTAAACTAAGAAATGGATCACATCTCGATTTGTTGTTTTTATTTTATTGCTTCTATCATTTTTTGTAGAAGATTAGCTTTTTGTTTGTTAATGATAATAAATAAGAAAATTAGTGACTGTGTTTCGAATGGACATTTTAATAGTAATCCAGGATCAATTAATGCAGGGAAGATTGTGAACAGTAGCTGCTGTAAAATAAGAATCTATGAGTCAGAGGAGGAAAACGATCGTGACATTAACGCCTTTAGACAGAATCCATGGAAACAGAATTTGGTGAAGTCTGTCCATAATTCATTAAATATATACCTATGTTGAGGATTGAGAGGAACCATCAAGGAACTGAGTTGAAGCGATTTGAATGGGGAGAGTGAAATTGTCCCCTCCCTGTTGTTAACATTTAGTGGGTAAAGGACGGGCTCTTCTCCACACTCATTGAGGTATCCTTCTGTTTGACGGATTATTTTTTGACCAATGTTATGGTCATAGTGCTGGAAAGAGATTCTGTACTTTCCCGTGTAGGCAGCCATATGACCAACAATCAATACGAAACTAACGATTTTAAATTGGCTCACCACTTTAGTAGCCTATTGGTCCCAAGCAAACGATTAACGTACCCTATTCTAGTTTAAAATCTATTACTACACTCTGTTTGTTTTGATTCGCTATGAAAGTTTGACAGATAACATCAGGGGTGTGTGGATTCCTGCAGAACATGCAGGGGTGAGTGAAATAGCTTGGGACTGCTTGGGACCGTTGTGCTGGTACTGAGTGAGCCAAAAATAATAATGATTTTCTTCGGGACCCAGTGGTCTTAGAGTTACCTCTATGATATGACTTTGCCTATCAATCCACCCAACCCGTTTTCGGCCCTTCGTACAGTGACATGTTGAGAACAACCAGAGTTTATCTTAATCAAATCAAATAGGGAGGAGAGCCCACTGCTACCGGACTTAGTTTCCTTACTGCAATGAGTGGTACACAATTATCATCGCTATCATCTAAATTGGTGGTCGCTTATTAGACCCAATTTAGGACACCCTGTTTCGTTTATTACGTTTTAAAACGGAGCTTTTAGCTAGCAATGTGCTTGCACTTTGTTATCAGAAATCAAATTATGTTTGCGATTCAGATTTTTAGTAATATCAAAATGATTTGAAAATATTTCGATCTCATTAAAAATAAAAAAAAAACATTCAAAAAGTTATCAACATGATTTTAAAAACAGAATTTAATATCATTTGGATAACATTTTGATGTCCTACTTTCCATTCACTAGGTTCTTTGGGCAAATTTCGCTGTATTTGGTCAATCGAGGAGTAGCAACTGTTTTGCAAAGCTTCATGTAAATCGGAGAGTGTGAGTCTGATATTCATTTTTTTCCTATTTGATCTGGAATTGCTCGGATGCGAAATTTATTGAAACTGAATGAGACCCCAACGAAATAAGTCTTTCACTGACAGGAGAACAAAACACAAAGCAGATAGTAATTCCACAGACAAAAAGACGTAACTCTTTTAATAAATTTTCTTTAAATATATTGTCACGGAACTCACATCTCACGAGCTAGCCGCGGAAAAAAGCTTGCTTGCCAAGTCTCAAACAATGTTGCAAAAATTTTTTGATAGAATGTATTGAACCGTCAAACTAATAATAATTAAATTGAATGTTAAATGCGTGTACGACGATTCAGGAAGCAGAGTTACGTCTGTTTGTCTGTGATAATTTGTTCCACCAAAATCGATCCTTTCTCGCAGTAGTTTCCTAATAACCTCCAAGGTGAGTTCGACTTGCAAATAAACAAAAAAAAAAAAAAACACACGAAACTACCTTCATCAAAACAGATATAAAAACTTTCCGGTGATTACCTGCCTCAACATGACAAACTTTACTATTATGAATGCAAAATAAAAAAAAAAACACAAAGAATCCAAGCATAAAAGACACAACAAAGAAGCGCCAAATACTTGACAACAGGACCGACCCGGAGTTCCATCCGCATAACTTGTTTACGAACCTTGATTTCCACCGCTTCTCGCTCGCCTGTGAACAGAGGCAAAAACACCGAAGAATTCGTTTATCGTAATATATTTTTTAAAAAAGAATCCACTACCCATCACGGAAGCTTCGCTGTTCCGCTTCGCTTCGTTTTGCCACGTCACTTTCACCTAGTTTCCACCGGGCAGATACGGTTCTCGAAGGTCGCCCCACCCCCACCTGGTTGCACCCTAGTTTCCCTATTAGTAGCGAAAATAAATTATTTCGCAATTTATTGCTTCCATTTAGCTGCTTCGCACAACTCTTTTTGCATTTGGCTCTAAACCGCCCCCTCCCAATTGACAATCATGACAGGCGCGCGCCTGGGAGTTAGGCAATTTTGGCAAATTTGAGCCCCGGTCCGTCTCAGTCCATCCGCATGGTTCAAAGCGATAAGGTGCATTCGCGTGTGTTAGCCCGTGCTCTAGTGGCAGCAGCCCGGTTTTCCGGGGAGAAAGTGGCAATGAAGGTCGATGTCATGGCTTCGGCGGTCATCAAGGAGGAGGAAGTCCCGAAACCTCCAGCAATCGTTTCCTACGCGTTCGAGAAGGAAGCGATCAACAAGCAGAATGCGTACATCCACGTGACCGACCACTTCATGCCGAACGTGAATCGCGTCCCGATAGCCATCAAGTTTTGGTCCAAGTACGACTCGACGACGGCTGCGGCCCAGAGCGGCCTGGCCAACTTTGACAAGTACTTCAAGCTGCTGGAGAAGAACATCGCCGAAGGGCCGAAGGAGAAGTTCCAGGAACCGAGAACCGAGAATCAGAGGTGAGTTTCGAAGAGTCCTGGTTGAACACGGTAACTGATGGGCGCATTTTCAATCGACAGCTACGGATGGCATTCGGATCCTTTCTATCGCTTGGAATCGGAGGACGTTCACCTGCTGTACCATCCGAAGAAGCGACAGGAGATTACCATTATCGGTGAGAAGATCAATGCGGACAAAATCACCCAGAGACCGAGGTTTACCGGACTCCCATTCAAACTGCCCAGTTGAAAGCGAGTATTGATATCGATTTGTATTTGTGTTGGTGTGGGTGAATAAATTACATGACCAGTTAACGAAAATGACTATCTATGGGGTTATTGTTTCAGCGAAGCCGAAGGCTCCGGCAGCGTCCCATTGATTTCTGCATCGATCCAAGGATCTTGTGGTGTAATGGGTTCCATGCTCTCCCTCGTCACCGTGGACTTGGTGGATCGTGGTCCGATGTAGCTGAGGAATACGGGCAGCAGTATCAATCCATGAATCGCGCCGATCAGAACAATTCCAAGGTACATCCGGAAGTAGAATATCTGGAAGATTTGTGAATTGGCGAACGCCAGCACAATGATTCCGGCAAACTTGGTCAGTGTGATTCCGGAGAAGACACTGCTGCCGGTCTTGGTCAACGCCAGAGCTGCACGATCGATTTTGCTGCCCACTTCATTCTTGTAGGATCGAACGATATGTGAAATGAATTCCACTCCGATTCCGACGCTCTGGAACGTTAGAAGTTGTAATTTCTATCTAAACTTGAACGAGCATTACTTACCATGACCAGATTGACCAGCGACACGGCATTCAAGGTGATGTTCCACAGCCACATGAAGCCTCCCATGTTCAGCAGAATCAGGAACACCATTAACAACACGATCAACGAGAACACAATGTCCAATCCGGTGACCAGGAACGTCACAACGAACACCGCAGCCAACGATAGCCCTAACGACAACAGTGCATCTCCCCAGATCGTTAGATATTGCTCGTAGAACACGTAAAACACACTGTACGGGAAGATCTCCACTCCGGCGTCCTTCTCATCCAGCATCTGCTGAATGTCGTCGGTAACCTTCCGAGCCCACTGCAGCGCTTCGTAGAAGTCTCTCGAGGTGACCACCGTCGTATGGTAACTCATAAAGTATGAATCGTGCACATTCAGGTGGCCATCCGAACCCGTCACGTAGTTTAGTGCCGACAGGTACGCGGGCCGACCTGCCTTGGCGCATCGATCGTCCGGAATATCCGACAGGAAGAACTCCATGTACCGCTCAAACTGCGGCACCGTCGGCCGTATTCCCGTTTCGTCAAACTCCTTCGGACAGGACTGGCAGAAGGTATCTGGGGAATGGAGTCCTCAGAAATGGATTGCGTCTTTGGTAAATTGATAAACTTACTTGAACTCATGCAAAACGATTCATCCGTTGAATTGAACCGGCAACAGCTATCAATGGTCAACCAATCGACGTAGTCGTCCAGCCACGAAGAAGACGGTCTAGCAATATGGGTTCTGAAATAACATGGCTATTATTCAACCTCCCAAACGCAAGTCACACAAATCTTACATCTCCGGATAGCGTGAAGCCAGGTACAGTTGAGTCTGCACCGAGTCAGAGTTGCACAGCACTCCTCCGCAGACCAGATTTTGATCGGCTACGGAGCTGTAATTCAATCCAGCCTTCAGCACAAAGTATACCGGTGGACCCATCCACAGCAACTCCGCCATGAACTGGAAGTACTTTACCAAGTGCGAATCCTTCGGCATTGACAATTCCTGATCCAGTCCGGGTTCCACGTTGGGAACGACCATCAACGACAGTGACGACAGTACGATGAAGAACGCCAACACCGTCAATCGAACCGGTTTCTTCATCAAAAATGGAGCGTAGTACTTCCCGAAGAACCTCTCCAGGAACCCTGTCGTTTCGGTTCCGTCCATCTGCTTTCCACTCTTAACGCAGCAAAACAGATCCAACCGACCGCTGGCGGTACGCCGTTCATCCAACGCCATCAGTGCCACAAACGCAGTTATCTGCAGCAGAAAATCTACCAACAGTGCCACCGTAGCGTACCAGGCAAACGTGTTGACCGCGGGCATCGGCGATAAGCCTCCGATCGCAAAACAGAAGCACTCACTCGCCGATGTCAGCAGAATCGAAGGACCAATCTGGCCCAAAGCCTTTCCGATGGCCTTTTCCGTTTCCGGAGTCTCCAAGCGATCGATCCGCTGGAAGGCATGAACCAACATGAAGATGTTATCCACGCCGACGGCCAACACCAGGAAGGGAATGACCTCGATCGTCAACATGGTCGTAGCCAAGCGTAGATATCCAAAGAAGCCTAAGCTGCAAGCGACGGAAACCAGAACGATCACAATGCCTCCAACCGCCAAAATTATCTTGGATTCCTTGAAAAACGTCCGCAAGCCACTGATCTTGCCCAGCGAAATCGTAATGTAAATAAACATCACAACGTAGCTGATGATCACGGTGTACATCTCTGCCTCGGACATGGCGTCAATCCCGTCCTCGATGGATCGCTCAGCCGTGTATGCTATATCCATCAATGGGTTCCGGTATTTCTCGATGAACTCGATGTATTTCTTCTCCCACTCCATCATCGGTCCCAGCTCGCCCTTATTGGCCTTGTTATTGATCAATATGGTTACGATGACCCCGGTGGCAATTCGGAAATCTGGGCTCTCCCCCATCGCCGGCTTTGGAAAGCCTCCAACAGCTATTCCTGGTTCCACAGGGCCTCCGTATGGCCCAAAGCAAGCCGGTAGGTAGGCGTTCCGAGTGCAGTCATTGATCGTGTTCAAGTAGTTCACTTCGAATCCTTCAAAGTCCAAAGAGGTTTTATTAAATTTGTCGTAGTCGTTTTGGAAATAGCCAAACACCGATTGAATCGTACATTCGTTCAGGACTGTTTCCTTGTCAGCTGCCGTCATCGGGGCGTAGCAAATCTTCTCCAGGCCGGCTCCCTCTTCCTGGCCTATTTTCTCGATTTCCTCCTGCAGGGCAAAGACCGCCAGGAGAAATTCCTTGTCGAATGCTGGACCAAAGGTGATGTTGCCCGTGGAGGTTGGGTGAACGATCTGGAAGATTGAAATTGTAGGACTTGGGCTGAGAAAATAACAGAAAGTCAATACATACGTAGTCCCGTTTGATTGGTTTGATGAACATCTGCGTAGTACGGAAGAAGGGTGAAAACCGAGAATCGAAATAGTCTTTTTCGACACGGGATCGACTATCGGGAGATGCCCACAGCTCAACGGGGTCGGTAGTTATCTCCAGGTATACAATTCCGTAGCAAAGACCAGCAGCGATCCAAGAGCAAATTGCCAAAATCAACACTGGATGAGCTGCGCAAACTGAGAAAGAATGCTTTCATTATTTGATTGGCGACGAAACTGTTTCGAGGATACTTACATGTTCCTAAACTGGTGAAAAACTTGGTCAAACTGACGTTGACAACCGGAAAACCTCCGCAGAACTTTGGAAACTCAAATGACCTTCCAGAAGATCGCACAAACCCAGAAATCAACACAACCACCAGCCCAAACCCACCAATGACTACGGCCACCACGAATGTCGCCCCGTTCAAATCGCCAACCAAAAATCCTGGATCATTTGCTATTGGTGGATCCGATACTGGACAACTTTCCAAGCAGTCTACGCACGAGCAGCTGTTTGAATCATTGTACGCTTCGTTGCAATGCAGAACATCTAGATTGTACCGCGTGTCCGGGTTCTCCGGATACTGATACTCAATCAGGAAAGGCACGTAGTCATTATTCTCGGCATCCCCGAGATACTCAAACCACCTCTCCGCCGTACACCTTGTCGACTCCCAGCCTCCACAAGCGATATCCATTGCATACTTTCCACTCGATGGAAGAATAATGCCTTTACACGATTCGTACACTCCTTCCACGTGCTCTCGACTGATCCGGTAGTCAACCTTCTCCACGAACGTTCCGCTGGGATCCTCGTAAGCCGTCAAGAACCGACTCTGCTCTGGACTGCACGCCATATTGCAAATACTGAACAGCATATTTTTCGTACAAGTCTCACATCGTCCGAACAGGCCTTCCCCGTTCTTGAAATTCTTGTCCAACTCCAACAGCTGCGAATAGTCACAGCATAAAGGCACATCGTTATCTTCAAACATGAAACCGCATCGCCGACGCATGATCTCCTCTGCCGCCGGATTGTTCAACGGCTTAGCCTTCTCCGCAGTTGGACAATTCTGATGGTGTATCCCGATCTCGTTGCAGATTCCGTACATCACGCAGTGGTGTTCGCCATCCTGTGACGCCACCCGGCATGCTGCCAAAGCCAGCACCAATACCACCAACCGCACTGTAAGGTATTCGAAATTAGATCAAAACGTAACATCGTTGCCTACACAATTCAGGCAATCCATCAAACTACTGGGAATTTCCTGGTTCAATCAATTCAGTCATGAATGGAACTTTGGATTATCTGCCTCCCATTCCGTAAACTCATTTATTTTCGGTGGACTATTGAACCCAACCGAATACACTTCACATACCACTCATCCACCATGACAACAACTTCCCAACCATCATCCTGCAATCCACATTCCTTCCGGGGCCAAACTTTCACGCACAAGTTCAAGAACACCTCCGCCACGCTCGACGGCCGACAATTGACTGAATATGTCTGGCTAAGCCAGCCGTAAGCCGAATTGGTCAATCGAACCGAATAAAATGCGCTGAACGGCAGTCGGTCGACCGATAAACGAATCTTATCGATTGACGCGTGAGATAAGCTCCCGTGAAAGGACGCTGCCATCTACAACTGGTGACGGTTTGGAAGACAGATTGTAGTTACTTTGAAAGCTGGGCTTGAGTTGTTCGAGTTGAACACCTGTGGCAAGTGGGCGAACGGAACTCGAACGGAATGAGTTGCTGTTTGTATTGGAACTTGATTGAGGTGATTATCTTATCAAAGCGCGAAGGCGGTCGCCGATGATGAGTGGTGAGGTGCGACGGATGGATGAGAAATTCGCTTAATCCAGAGTTCAGTAGAATTTACTGGATGAGTGGTTGAATGAATTTAAAGTCCTGTTGAAGTTACTGTAGCGAAGAAGGATTTTTGAACAATGTAGCTGTACATGTTCCCAAAGTCTCTCCAGGAGATTTGTGAAGCGTTTAAGATTGTTTTCAGATTTTATTGGGATTTCGCAATAAATTTAATTCTGGGAGTTGGATGAAGGTCTGTCCGAAGAATATCGCTCGGAGCTCAGCGAACTACAAGCTCACTCCGTGCCACGCAGAGCCGTACAGAGTCACCAATACAGCTTACACTGCTTCTGCGATGCTTCAAAAACAGCATACGGCTGTTGCAGCTACGTCGTCTCTCGTGACGATTCCGGACAGCTCCACAGCCATCTACTGACTGCCACATCACGCGTTGCTCCACTGCGTGTACAGTCCATTCCTCAACTTGAACTCTGCGGCAGCCAGCTTGTCGAAAATCTACGTCGAAACAATGAATTTGTGGAACCTCCAGGATTCTGGGTGTAATCTGCGGTCGTTCTACATTGGATCAAGTCGTGAATGCCGTCGGAATTGAATTTAAACAGACCGGATTTCTCGAGGAATGATGCCAAGCCAGATCTCGAAGGACGATTTGTGGTGACATGGACCGACTTTTATCATAACCTCCCGTTGACAATTGGCCCGTCTGTGTGGTTTCGACGACAGACACTCCCGGTTTGCAACAAGAAGTGCCCAACCATCTTTATGCATAGCCCTACCGTCGATTCATCACCGTTCGAACGTTTATCTGACATAGCCAAACTATGCGTCGTAGCACGATGCTACCGATTCTTCAACAACGCAAGGCTCCCCCGGAGCGAACGCACTATCGGTTCACTAACCCAAGAGAAAGGTGAATATGGGCTCAAGATCCTACTACGAGAAGTTCAACCAGCGTCCTTCCCGGCTGAAATTGAAGTCCTCTAAGTAAAAGTATGAACGTCTGTCAAAAGTTAAAATGCACTGCTTTGCTCGATTGGAACTAAATACTTTTACTAAAGTGCTTTAGCTGAAATGTGTCACTATCGTCGTAAAGGACAAGGACGTAAAGCTGTTCATGGACCAGTTCGGCTTGCTCAGGTTTAACGGAAGACCAGCCAACATGAGAGCACCGTACCTCATGAAGCGTAAGGATGAAGTGCGAGAACGGCTCATCGAGTATGAGGCGATGGTGACCGCCCATTTCGGGACAAAGATCGTGCGTTTCCGAAGTGACAACGGCGGTGAATACACCGGAAAAGCCGTGAATTAGTCCTGTAGGCAAAAAGACATCAGGCTGTAGACAACGGTGCCGTATACTCCAGAGCAGAACGGGGTCAGCGAGAGGCTGAATCGTACAACTATGCTTGAAGTAAGTGAGCTTTCCAAGGCAATGTGGTGTGAGGCGTTGTAAACAGCTAAATTTTTGGTAAATCAAAGTCTGACTGGTAATATCAACAATCAATACGAAACTAACGATTTTAAAAAGGCTCACTACTTGACTAGCCTATTGATCCCAAGCTAATCGATTACGTACCCCATTCCAGTCAAAATTCTAGTACTACACTATGTTTGTTTTGATTCACTATGAAAGTTTGACAGATAAAATGAGGGGTTAGTGGATTTTCCTATGTTTCGAGGGGTGAATCGATTAGCTTGGGACCGAAGAGCGTACCAGAGCTGAGCCAAAAAATTGAGCACGTTTCTTCGGGACCTTCTGGTCTTAGAGTTACCTCTATGGTAATATCACGTCAAATGAGGCGTGGTACAACAAGCGACCGAATGTATCGAATCTTCATGTGTTCGAATGGTTGAAGCAAGCTTCGAGGAAATGGAATTTGCATTTCCACCAGTTTATGATCCGGCTGCAGTTGAAACAAAGTGAGCACGATTCATGTCTGTACAGTTAGTCGAAGGTTGGTGTGATGCTGTACGTAGTCATCTACGTAGACGATATACTTGTCCTTGGGAACTCAGTGGAAGCAATTCGTGCGCTGAAGGCGAACCTGTGCAGTGAGTTTGAAACTAGGGATCTTCGGGAAGTGAAGTCATTTCTTGGCTTGAACATCCATCGCGATCGCAAAGCAGGAGTTTTGACTATTGACCAGCGCATTTACTTGAGCAAAGTTCTGGAGCGCTTCAGGGTGAGCTCCTGTAAATCATCTGCTATACCGATGGAGCCTCGCCTGAAGCTGGAGAAAAAGAAGGATACGAAGGAGATGACGTCTAAGCTGTACAGGGAGCTTGTCGGCTGCTTTATGTTGCGCGGCAGTTAACTACTATGCTGCGATCCAGTGCTGTGCTAAGGAGGAACACTGGAGGCACCTCAAGCGAATACTACACTATCTTCAAGGGACGATCAACTACAAGCTCGTGTACCGTCGACAGGAATCAACAAATATTATCGAAGCGTACGCAGATGAAGAATGATCGGCGCTCGGTTTTCGGGTTCGTCATCAAGCTGTGTGGATCTGTGGTTGCGTGGATAACCAAGAAGCAGTCTTCGGTAGCGCTTTCGACCACAAAGGCGGAGCTGATGGCCCTTTGTCTGGCCAGTTGCAAGCTGACTTGAATGGCGAAATTTCTCAGCTCTACTGGATGCGTTATGAACGAGACAATCAACATCCTTGAAGATAATCAACCTTGCATTGCTATAACGGTCGAACCAGGGAAGCAGAAAAGGTTGAAACATGTAGGTAGATATCCAGCACTTCGTTCGTGAGTTGGTGGAGGATGGTAAGTTGCGTATTGCGTACTTGCCGACTGAACAACAAATTGCTGATATCAAGACAAAAGGGCTATTTAGCTGCGCCACGGATCCGAATGCTCCGCGATTTGTTGGGGATAATCAATTGAGGGTGAATATTGAGCGTGTAGCGTTGACCAAGCGTTTGTGGGCAGAACCACTCCACGCAAAGCGAACGACACGAGAAAGACCGGAAAAGGGATCACCGACAATAAAACACCAAGAACTCGTAGTTAGAAAAGAAAGGTTTAATTCGCGTGTTAAATGTACAAAGTACTGAACGGTAATGAAAAGAAAAAATGTGCTTCGCGCCCAGAGCTGCCAGGTGGTTTTATAAAAAATCTGTATCCACTCTATTAAAAAATCTGTATTTTCTGTATTCACGATTTTTTTCTTAATTAATCATGTTTCGTTGTTTTACAAAAACAGTGCATACAAAATAACCATAAAAAGTGCTTAACCACCTATTCGGGCTATCGTACTAACCATACGGGATATAATTGCGCCATTTGTGATATCGTCCGTACTTATTTATAAGAGTGATATGAAGCCGTTTGAAAATGTATGGAGATTTTAGTTTCTATTCATTATCTTCCTGATAAGCAGTTTTAAATGCAAAAAAGTGCACGAGTTCATTACTATTTGATATTTTTAATATAGATGAATACGATTAATTACATCATTTGTGTGGTAGTTACACCGAAAAGTCAAGAGATGTCGCCCCGCCAGTGCTGGTAAAATCATTTTTGCAGTATGGAGAATATCAGAACATCCGCAATTTCTTACGAAATACATTTTCAATGCAAGTAAAATGTTTACGAGTACTTGTATTTGTACCATTTTAATGTGCTCGGGCACTTTTCTTGTATTTAACATACATGCTTATATTGGAAATATTCAATTAATACTGTAAATCCCCATACAATCTCAAATCGTTTACTACCAGCTCCATATGCATCCGAAAGCGGTTGGTCCTCTGTCCTCTTAATTTTGGAGAGAAGGGGGTACGCTGATAAAATCGAGCAAGTTATTTTGTTTTTATAAATTTTGAATTTTTTTTTCTCAAGCATTGTATAAAAATCTGTATAAATCTGTATTGTAATTTAAAAATCTGTGATAAATCTGTATTCTGTATCGGGTCTGTATTAAGATTAAAAAATCTGTATAATACAGATAAATCTGTATAAATGGCAGCGCTGTTGGTAAGGTTGGCAGTCACCCACTGCAAAACGTACGGATGATTGTAGCAAGGTGAATAGAACAGTAGACGTGTTGCCATCTCCGACAGCGTTAACCCAAATCCAATTTATACCATTTGAGCGTGTAGAGAGAAATTGTTAATAAATACTTTTTTCATTATGTTGTTGTCCTCACCGAAACCACAGTTCGACTTTACTGGTCCGGTAAAAAACACGTACTTTATCGTACTCGTGGGTGCCGACACCAGTGGCCTGAAGCAAGGATTATTAACAATATAACCATAGAGGTAACTCTAAGATCAGAGGATCCCGAAGAAATGTGCTCAAATTTTTGGCTCAGCTCTGGTACTCTCTTCGGTCCCAAGCTAATCGATGCACCCCTCGAAACTACTCACTACTTGACTAGCCTATTGGTCCCAAGCAAATCGATTAGCGCACCCCATTCTAGTATAAATTCCAGTACTACACTATGTTTGTTTTGATTCGCTATGAAAATTTGACAGATAAAATGAGGGGTTTGTGGATTTTCCAATGTTTCGAGGGTGCATCGATTAGCTAGGGACTGAAGATAGTACCAGAGCTGAGCCAAAAAGTTGAGCTCGTTTTTTTCCAAGACCTTCTGGTCTTAGAGTTACCTCTATGATAATACTATATCTCTTAGCATATTCGACGGGCGATTACAAGGGGCTGTGCATTAACTACGACAGTTTTTTTTGGATTCAAGCCCCCCCCCCCCCTGCGTAGACAATTGTCCATACACAATTTATAAAATTTGTAAGGGCCGTAGATAATTGCCAAATGCCTGATTACTTCTATAGTTGAAGCAAGAGCTGCGTCAGTATCAAAATGCAATTATAATAGACGACGATTTTCAGCTCTTGATCCGTCTGAAAAATTTCCGTACGCGGCAATATCAAAGAATACGCAATCTTGCCATGAAAATTATCTGGCGTGATTTGCAAAAAAAAAAAAATTGAAAAGCGAATCTCTGCCCTGAGGAACAAAACTTTCGAAAATAATGTGTTGAAATTAGACCCGTGTTCCAAACACTTTTGGAAGCTCACAAAAACCTGAAAAACTTATTCCAGCGCTTTAGGAAGGGGGCTGATTTGTACGAAGTAAGATCTATAACTAAAAAGTTTCAAAATATCAAAGCAGTTCCAGGTGATGATGGAATTTTCTATACCCTTGAACAGATGTTTCCATTTGGCATACTTTCCAGATACCGAGGTACATAGAATTTAAAGCAGTAAAAACGAAATTGATAAAGCTTGATTACATATACAGAAAAAAAAAAGTTAATTGAATCAGCTGCAAAAAATATCCTGTTGTGTTTGACGTTCTGGATGCTAGACGAGAACCTCCTAGTACAAAAAAAAATACTATGTGGCAAAGATAGCGCGAAATTTGCTTGTACAACCGTGGTTATCAAAAAAGCAAGTCGATTAAGTGAATCGATCAAAGCAGATAGGACCTTTTGAAGTAGTCATCAAGATATCTTTACATTACTGATAGACAGCAAAACAACCGTCCTCAAGATGGGTGTTCCGTATCAAAAATTGACAACGATTCGGTAGTCAATTTATCAAACACTTGTTGAAGCAACTCAATACGAGTGAAATGCCACTTGAGGTCCTCTGCAGATATACGGCAAATACCTAATAAAGGCCAATAAAAGTGAGTAATCAAATAGGTATACAAACTTTCAATCCCATAAAACCAAACACCGAGTCTTATCAGTGCTTATCTGTCGGCCAGTTCTAGTTTTTATTCTGCGCCGCGCTCGGCAAATGATCTTCATCGCATGCATTCAACATTCAGTCTTGGTTCAGTAAAAGAAAGAAAGTGTGCTTTCTTGTAAGTTAAATAAACGAACGGAAGTTTGTATGGATTTTTACAGTAAGTAACCACTGGTGAACATTGCATTAGGTCCAAAGTAATATTGACAGATTCTCTTCGTTGGCCATGTAAAGACCTTCCCAGGTATTTCAGCACACAGATCGATATCTAATATGACAAACACAACAATAAACGGTTATGTGCTCAAGTTATTAACGTAAGAGAATCGATCAATTTACTTGGGACCTAATGCAATTTTCAACTTGACTTGTTTATCGCTTCAGAATCATAATGATTATCTAAATTTGATTGCGCCTAGATTACGGCAAAGCGAATCTTTTCCCAATCCACAATTCATCAATGGTGTACCCCTCGTTTGATCATTCGTTCATCGCATGACGTTTGGTGGATGAATATTTTCAAACACATCGCAGACTAATGTGGATGTAAACAGGTGAGGCAACGTGAATTTATCATCTCTTCCGTTCTGTCACTCTTTAAATCGATGACGGAGTTTAACGTCACACTTCGTCAACCAGTTGACTGCGGCAGAGTGAAAGAGACAATAAACCCGCATTGCCTTACCGGTTTACATACATTGAGCGCAGACGCTTTATCTTCCTCTTTGCCTGTTTTGTTTTGATCGTCGTTCGTGAGCAGCGTTGCCAATCGCCGTTTAGTTTAAAAATTATAACCGATTTGAAAACTTTTTTTTTAATTTGGAAAACGACCAAAGTACTTGCAAACAATAATAAATGGCTAAAAATGATTTTTTCGACAACAACCCGGAAACCCCTTAAATGTTCGAGCGAAAATCCGACATCACTGTCCCCTCTCTCCAGCAGTGGCATTCATCGCACCGTGCTGCTGGAATGTCAAAACTATCACTAATTATCACAACACACCCACTGGACTGAATCACTTCCCGTTTTGTGCGAACAGCAAGTGGCAAATAATTACCCGTGGACAAAGAATCGGTTTTGCGTAACACTTTTCACCCGAAGAAAGCAAGAAAAATGTCCATTTGAAACCGTGTTCCCGTGTCGTAGATCATCGGACAATGGCTCGACACCAGCACCGCCGAACGGTGAGCGATGTTTTCAACATCGAAGTGGCTGGATCCGAATCGCAGCTCTGCACTCTAGGCGCTGGAGCAGGAGGAGGAGCTGTGGATCAGCCAATTTTCGCGGAACCCAGCAAGTGCTCCCCGTCGTCGTCGTCCAGCGATTTCCAGAGCACGAGTGATAGCAACTTTCTGCTGCGGGAGGACGCCGCCTACAGGCGACGGAAGGAGCTGTACTATCACCGAACGAACGCTGACGGAGGTAAACAAAATCAGAGCGTTGAAAAGGATGACGGAGAGGTGCAGGGCGACAACGAAGACGAAGACGAGATACGGGAGTTTGCGGACGACGGGGACGCGGCGAGTCAGTTCGAGAAAAATGCCGTGACAAGCGATTGTAGCAAGGCGACGGTGAGCCGAGTGGCAGTCGATGTAAGTGGTCGTCGCAAGATCGTAGTGGTGATTTTGTTTCGCATATATATTTTCCGATTTTTTCCCCGCAGAGCTTTCGGCGATGGTCCGCCAACTTTGGCAAGAGTATTAAGAACAACAAACGCAGCATGTACAACAAGACGATCCGGTTTATGCCGTCGCGGTTGCAGAAAAGTGAGTACCTTATCAGCGTTCGCTCCTAGCAGGACTCCTTTGTAGGTAGCGGCGAGGAATGTCAAGGTTGATTGCACCAATTGTGTGAGTAGTTCAATGGGGTACAGGGGACGGGAGCAGCGAGCGGGATGACGAGGTTTGTTGACATTTGTAGGGAAGTGATTCTATTTTCAGATGATTTTAGCGTTGCGTGACGAAGGAGAGTGGCGAAAAAGCTGTGAGATGGCACATGATCCCGGTGATTTGTTGATTTTCATTTAAGGAACTAGACGGTACTTGTATGTGAGAAGAGGAACTGTAAGCAGTGTTTCTTCGATAGTCAATCGTACTAGATAAGGAACTATCAGGTGTGCTCGAAAAAAGACTGATAAGGACGCTATTGATGAATCTGAATTGAGAAGAAAATGTTGAATCAGAGAAGCGAATGTGTTCTAAACAATCTTGTTTACCAAAACAATCAAGTGGTCGACGAAAAGCTGAATATATCACTTGAAAATGGGAAAAATAGTGGTGAAGCGATTGGTCATTGGAGCTAGGCAGCACATCACTGATAGGAGGGATTCACTTGAAAGTTTTACACTGTAAAAAATATTTTGTAATATCGCATCTAAACCGAAGCATATAAACCGAGTCGAAAATTTTGTGTGAGAAGGCGAGAATTCCGATTCGTGATGGAATCGAAACTCGGAAAAGCTGACGAACGAAAACTAGCCCCAAAAGAACTATCGTTTACGGCAGAGATCCTGTTTAAGCGTGGAAATTCACGAATGATTATCGTCAATCCGTTTCCATCTTCAAACCCGGTCAAAATCTTTTCGTTGGATGGTCCTCGGAAGTCGGGTGAAGGAGTGGTATCAGAAATTTACAATGGTTTCAAGAGTATCGCCCATCTTTTTTTTTTTTTTTTTTTTTTCTTTATTTTAGAGATTTTTAGCCTGAGGCTAGTTCATCTCTTGTATCGCCCATCTGATAAACCGCATGCAACAAGAAGTTTGCAGAAGGTGGAGACATTTAATCACATATAGTGGAGTAGTAAGAGCCTGGATCAAGACTGGAAGTGTAGGCTAAAGATCTTAGAGGCAATTATGTTGCAGACTGTCGAAAACCTTCCAGAAAGTGCATCCGGAAGCTGAAGTCGGTAAATCTGTGTTCACCGTAGAAGTAAAGGAGCTGATCTATCATTTCGTTCCGTTGCATTTCTAGAGGAGCAATTCGTTAATTGCATACTGGCAACTGTTATGTATCTACTTCAACGCAGAGTTGATAATAGGAGAGTTACGCAGACTGGAATCATAGTCTACCTAACGATCATAGTAGTCAAACTGACTCTGTTGCGGGGGAGGTATTGTTATCGAAACTAGAGGAAACTTTCACAACCCAGGTGAAGTCATCCGAGGTGTAAACAAAAACAAAGGTTGCCAAAAAATGCCCATTGATCGACATCAGTGTTGCAAGCTTCACTCTGCGTAACTCTTCTATTATCAACTCTGTTTCATCGTTCTTATTCTGATTGCTCCCGCGAGGAAGCTGTCATTCAACATTCAAGGTGTCCAGAGGCATTGATGAATGCAGAATTCACGAAAAACCGTAAGCAACTTCGGCAGCCTTTCCCAATGTCAGCAGAGAACATTTACTCGATGAATGGATTCAAGTATTTCGCCACAATAATTGATGCCCACATTCGATTTATACGAGTACGTGTACCGAAAGCTGTCCGGTCGGATAACGCCGCAAAATATTCCAGAACAGCCATGAGGAGTTTCTACCAGCAGAGCCTTCCGTAGGAGCTGGAGCTTCTTCCTCAAGAGCTGGAGCTTCTTCCGCAGCAGCTAGAGCTCTATCCGCAAAAACTGGAGCTCCTCTCACAGGAGCTTATTCCGCAAGAGCTAGAGCTCCTTACGCAGAAGCTGTAGGTCCATCCGTAGGAGCTGAACATCCTTCCTATTGAGCTGTAGATCCTTCGTATGAGAGCTGAAACTTATTCAGCAGGAGCTGGAGCTCCTTAAACAGGAGCTGCAGATCCTTCCTGTGGAGCTGTAGATCCTTCGTATGGAGTTTAGATCCTTCCTATGGAGCAGCAGATCCTTCCGTGGAGATGGTCCAAACGCAACATCGTCGAGTACCGAAAGCTATCCGGTCGAATAACGACACACAATATTCCAGAACATCAATGAGAAGATTCTACCAGCAGAGCATTCCGTAGAAGCTGGAACTCATTCCGCATGAGCTGGAGCTTCTTCCGCGGGAGCTCCTTCCACAGGATCTGAAGCACTTTCCGCAGGAGCTGTTGATCCTTCCTATAAAGCTGCATGAGCGGGACCACCTTCCGTAGGAGCTGCAGATCCTTCCTACGAAGCTACCCACCCTATAACCTAGGAAACTGCATTCATTCTTAACTCGAAAAGCTACCAACTCAACAAAATCATTGCTAACCTCCCCTTACCATCCTGTTCCCTTCCAGCCCTGTCCATCGATGGCGACCTCATCACGACGACCGCCTCCGACGTGGAGCAAATCACCCAGGAGCTGGAACAGCGCGAACAGCTCATGGAGGACAACCCGCTGTCGGAGCAGCTACGCATCGAGGCGATCAAATCGATGGCCCAGACCCTGTCGATCAAACGGCAAATCCGGGCCAACCTGGCCCGTACGGTGACGCGCCGGTCCGTGAGCCGATCGAAACCGATCAGCTTCCTGCGCAAGTGTCGCTACAGCGGGAAGATGTACGGGAGTCAGTTTGCAAAATTCCTTAAAAATTCGCTGACCACCTTTGAACTGTTCTACGGCAGCATGAAGGAGGTGGAGGGTCACTTCGGCAACCGCATCAGTGCGTACTTCAAGTTTCTCCGGTGGTTGCTGGTGTTGAACGTGGTTCTGGTGATTTTCGTATTTTGGTTCGTCAGTTTTCCTCAGATATTGTACTACGGGATGGAACAGAAGACTGGAAAGCTGGAGTCCAGTGCAGAGCAGAACCTGACAAACAGAGCGATGCGGAACACTCGAGGGGACCTCAGCTTTACGGATCTTTTCACGGGAGAGGTAAGTTAATCGAAGATTTGCTAAATCCATCTGGTCATAATCTGATGAAAATATTTCTCTTGAACTATAAGCTTTCAAGGCCTTAGGAGACGGTCAGTAGATTTCACTTCAAATAGAACTCCTTCGAATATGTCAACTCACGATTGAACCATTTCCAGGGCTACTTCACCGAATCGATCCTGTTCTACGGCTTCTACAGTAACGTCTCGTTCACGTTGCTCCCAGGAAGCTCCGAGTACAGCCTTCCGCATGCGTATTTTCTCACGGTGATCATCATGTACATTGCCACGTTCGTCGTGGTTTCGCTCAGTATGGCGCGATCCTACCGGATCAGCTTCATCGAAACCAGCGGAGCCGTTCACAACGTCCTGACGCATAAGATCTTCTGCTCGTGGGACTTCGGCATTGCGAACGAGAAGGCAGCTCAGCTGAAGCATGCCAGCATCTTTCACGAACTTCGGGAATACTTGACCGTCATTAACCGGCCAGATGGGCCTTCCGGCAAGTGGCAACGCTTGAGCAGCACTGCTCTCCATTTTATTGCCCACTTGGCCGTACTCATGATGATTGGGTCGATCGCATTCGGCACCTGGATGCTTCTGCAGGAGTTTGGGCAGACGGAGCACTTCAGCACCTGGTCAGCGCTCTACGTTTCCATTACAACGAACGTAACGATGTTGGTTTTTCAATATGTCTTCCGGTTTATATCGAGGTTAGTCAAAGCCGTAGCAACACAATTCAAAAACTTCTAATTTGCATACCGTTCTAGAATGGAAGACTACCGCCGACCTTCGACCGCTCTCAACATCAACCTGATGCGCAACTTCCTGCTTCAGCTGTGCATCGTCGGTGTCCTGATGTTCTACTGGCTCAACAAGACCTACGACCAGTGCTGGGAGACTTCGGTTGGTCAGGAAATCTACCGCCTCATCGTGATCGACTTTGTAGTGTCCGTGTTGTTCCTGGCCCTCCTCCAAGCCGCTCGCTACGGTATCAATCGTTTCTACAATCACTCAGTCTCCCTGCCCGAGTTCTGCATCTCCAACAACAGTCTCGGACTGGTCTACAACCAAACCCTCCTCTGGTTCGGACTTCTCTTCTCACCCCTTCTTTGCGTAGTCGTCACCGCGAAGCTATTCCTGACGTTCTATATCAAGAAGCTAAGCCTTATCTACTTCTGCAAGCCCCAGAGTAAACTGTGGCGCTCCAGCCAGACCCAAACGCTCTTCCTGGTGCTGGTTTTCGTGTCTCTGTTTGGTGTAATCATCACCCATGGTTACATCATAACTCAGGTTGCCGTTAGCGAGGAATGCGGTCCCTTCCGAGGAAACACCTACATGTTTCAGCTATTCATGCAGGGAATCCTCAAGCTACAGGAAGAGCACATCTTCTGGAAGATCTTCGCTTACATAACGAAACCGGCAATCATCGGAGGGCTGCTCCTGACGATGGGAGTCGTCACGTACTATCTACGAGCAAAATCCAAAGCACAGATCGCCAAGGTCAAACTACTGAAGGAGATGCTGTGCATGGAAGCCAAGGACAAGGAATTCCTGCTGGCCAATATAAGTAAGATTACCCGTGGCAAGGAGTGGCACTTTGACCGGGAACTGTTGAACGGCCGGAAGAGTAGCACCGCTGACAAGTACTATAGTGATCCGAGTGGCACGTGGCGATATGCGGAGAGTCCGAGGAAAATCAGTGGAACATCTGTTTTGAGGGATGAGGATGACAGTCCAACGGGGTCTGGGTATCATCGTGAGTTGCCTTAATTTGAAGTCTTGGGAAAGCATTTTTAATGTTGATCATGTTACAGGAATCGATGAGTGCAACGAGGAACGAGTCCGGATGAGACGCTTCTGAAGCGAAACTTATAAACTGTTGTTTTTTTTTGCATTGCTCTCAAATGTGAATACCTATCTCAAAGTGAAATTGTTCGATTGTTTTTTTTTATCGATTTAGAAATCTGAGTTTGCCTCAGTATTAAACGAATATTTATTTATGTCGTAATCATTTTATTTTTAGTCGTGATGCATTGACAATAAACGTGATTTTCATCATACCAGCTGGAATCGCAAGATTCCAATAAGATTTGGGTTTTAATTCGGGGTACAGAATCAGCTGTTTGGGCTGGTGAAAAAAAAATCAAAATAAACAAAGTGGCTACGAGTTCATTCAAACAAAAGTCCTGCGAAGATTCTCTACCACTATCGGGAAACAAATTGCTACACGCATACCATGAAGTCGCAGGTGTTCATTCTTGGTAGTAAAATTCACTCGCGAATGAATTCGATCGGCTGCTTGTTTCTCGTACGCAGTGGACTGTCAAGTAACGGCAAGCGTAACGGTATCCAAGGGCGCAACCGTTAGCGGGACAGAGATGGATGGCTTGCTGTATTTGTTTTGGTGTTTTTTTTCCCCAGCTGCATGACTGTAGCTACAGTAAAGGCAACAATTCAGTGCCAACATTTCAAAAGGGGGTAATTGCATTTGTAAACAATGGCTTTAGCCGTCGATTTCTCGCGAATAAAAGCTCACTCATGAAAAATAATGACACCAACAGGAATGTTTCCTCTACCAGCTAGCATTGTTATTTTGTAGGGGTGAGATTTTATTCCCGAGAAGTTGACGGCTAAAGCCATTGTTTACAAAAGAAATTACGCCCCTTTGAAATGCTAACGTTGAATTATCCGACTGTGAGTACATCGGCCGTATAGAATTGCATGTATGTATGAGTCTAGACCTCTTTGTATGCAGCATAGGAGTTCAAATAAAAATGAAGATTGATTTGCGGTGAAACAAATGCGAGATGATTTTCAAAATAACTAAAACTGTTGTAGTCGCGGAACCTAACCTAAATTTTTCACACCCATTTCTCAACCATGAACTTAGGCAGTTCTGTAAAAGAGAACGTTAAGAGATACAAGCAATGTTTATTCATGGGGGGGGGGACGTGCTGTCAAATCAGCCTACTGATCATTCTTGTATGAAACTGGTTCCAAACGTAAACAAACCCTGTAGGTTTCTTATGGCTTGTTTACGTTTGGAACCAGTTATGCGAGGTAGGCGGAGATTGTTCGCATTTGACAGCCACCTCCCCCCCTTGGTTTATTCATCAAAGCAGCTTGAAATTATCGCTGCAACTTTGCTTAAGGGCATGTATCTGTATTCAGAAAAAAAAGTAAATTTTTATTTTTAAAACCGCCGATGGAATGAGCATTTTAAGCAAAAAAAAAAATAGTTAACCGAAGACACCAAACGTCTACAACTTAAGAAAAAAGTATGTACTATGACTTGTTTCTTGCTAAGTTCCCATCGTCAACCACTTTTACTTATTTACACCGAGATTTACACGAGCACCTGACAAATTTTAAAGGCGAGTCAAAACAAACACAAACTTTGACAGACTCTGGTACGAGAATGGGCTACATTTATATATGTACTTGGAACCAATGGGCTAGTCAAGTAATGAGCCGGTTTAAAATCGATAGTTTTGTCAAAGACAAACAGACATAACACTCGTTAACGTTCAATTTAAAAGTATCGTAGTTGGTAGTACCACCATCTGTGGCGTGCATAGTCAATTCCCTTGCGTTTGACGTTTACACACTACCGCCATCTGTTCAGCGTACTACCCACCACAGTGTACTCAGCAGATGGCGGTAATGTTTTAGCGACGACATTTTACCATAGAGGTAACTCTAAGACTAGAAGATCCCGAAGAAACGTGCTCAACTTTTTAGCTCAGCTCTGGTACTGTCTTCGGTCCCAAGCTAAACGATTCACCCCTCGAAACATAGGAAAATCCACTAACCCCTCATTTTATCTGTCAAACTTTCATAGCGAATCAAAACAAACATTGGGTAGTACTAGAATTTCGACTAGAATGGGGTACGTTAATCGATTTGCTTGGGACCAATAGGCTAGTCAAGTAGTGGGCCAATTTAAAATCGTTAGTTTCGTATTAATTGTTGATTTTACGGTGAGAAATATTCAATATGTTATGTCTGTTTGTCTGTGGTTTCGTATTGATTGTTGGTGAAACACAGTTCGAGAACAGAAAACACTGACTATCAGGTGGAAGCCATAAATTCAGTAGACTTTAAAATCAGCTCAAGTGATCCTCAAGAGTCACGTTGCGTCCGTGAAACGGACCTTAAGCAGCGGGATGAATTTTCCTAGATTTGCTAAACGTTGCAACTTTCTATGCTGTACGATGACAAGACCGGTGGCAGTAGCAGCAACCATCGTAGAGGGAATCAATCAGGTAATACATAACAGCCCAGAATCACGACGAGCAACTCCAGTTAAAATGTAATTCTGGCTGCTCCAATTTTTTGGTTTGGTCATTGACCTTCCGGATGTTAGTCCACAACCAGTTGTTCGTAATGTACGGATCGGATAGAGCTCAAATGATGAAATGTGGACGGGTTTGTAGCTGGAGGGTATCAAGTATCCGGAAGGGATAAGATATTTGCCGAGGATTAGCAGAATCTAGTGCCCAGAACACGCGCCCGGAAGTTGTACGAGCACGACGAAGTACAGAGGATGCCTTCTCCTATACGTCAAGATGGATTTCAGGCAGGTTCCCGGACAAAAGTTTTATCTGGTCACAGCAAAGAGTAATGTCCCCAGCAAATTCAAGTTTGTTTTCGCCGATACATTCACCAGGAAACTGATGCTCTAGCAAAAAAAAATGCAGCTGCGGACTCAAAACCAGGCTTTTCATCACCAACAAAACGGTGTGCAGGATCCATTTTCTTTTCTGGTCTTCAATCTAGTACAACTTTTTGATTTCTGCACGTACCGAGACGAAACTTTCACCACTGAAACACGTGTATTTTCAAAACAAATCGCTGTTAAAAACTTTTAAATCTGATCGCAAGAGGTGCCGCTATAGAAATAACGTGTGCTAATTATAAGCGGACCAGACTTTGAAACATATTTTTGGACTATCCTACACCTTTAGATTTTTTTTTGCCGAGATGGACAGCACTGATCAGCTCAACATTTTATTTTGGTGGATCTTGTCGAGATTCAGCAAAATTTATGTTTGTTAGCTGAGATCCCGGCAAAATTCCCGTTTGCTAGCTGAATCTCGGCAAGTTTTTCACTAAAAAAAAATGCAGAGCTGCTCCCATCTTGGCAAAAAAAATCTGAAGGTGTAGGTAATAGAAAAATTGACAATTATCCACGGTCCATACAAATTTAAAAAAATGTGTATGGACAATTGTCTACGCAGGTGGAGGGGGGAGTTCAATAATCCCAAAAAAACTGTATACGTAGCTTATGAACAGCCCCTAACATGCTAAGAGCTCTCTCCAGATATCTCCAGCTGCAATTTTCAACGAATTATTAATGAGTTTGACAAGAATTAATATGCCTCTCTTTCCTCTGGAAAGTTCATCTTAACATTTCTTTGGAATTTATCTCAGAATTGCTTTGAAATTTTGCTCTGAATTTCAGTAATTACCCGATTGTTGCACCAAAGTATCCCTTAAACATTCATCATAACGTTGAATGAGAAAGATTTGGAATTACGGTTACGTGAAACTATTAATAATAAAAGTCATTATTTTGAAAATTTAAAGTTCCAGAATTACTTAGGAAATTCACAAGCAAATTTCCACCGAAATATTCTTTAGCGGCGATCCAATTGGTTGGTTTGGTCTAAAATTTTGGAACAGACCCAGACCGAGCCCTTGCACTGGGGGTCTATATTTTGTTTTAGACTAGTTCTAAAATGTAATTTTTTTAAACCAGTATAATTCTCGATCTATTTTGAACTGAATTTGGATCAAGGCAAGCACTGTTCCAAACTAGTTTGACAGCTGTCGCACTCGAGATTTTGTTTTGCTTCGTTGTTGGGGGTTTTTTTTCAGCAAAACAAACCGATTTATGTCGTTTTCGTTTTTGCGGTGTAGCTACACCGGTGCTACACTGCCGAACACCGAAAAAAATTAGGGTGTAGCTATCGGTTGCACCTTTGTTTACAAACAAATGATGATGAACTGTCAATGACTCGCACTTATTGCTGCTTACACTACACCGGTGTAGTGTAGTAAAAACGAAAACGACATTAGTTCCTCGATTTTCTAAGAAACGTGGGCAGAACAATCGACTGCTGTTGACATTGGTGTAGTTCCAGCACTATCGCACTATCGGTGCTGCTGTTGCTGCGAAAGGATCACAAGGGAGACATCCGGACGCTTCTGTTCAGCAGGATTTTCCGGGCATGTTTTGGAAACTCCCAGGGAAGTGGCCAGTTTCTGACTTTGTCCAAAACTCATCATGTGACACATCAAATCACATTAGATTTCAAAACCAAGATCAATGGAAGTCAAATAATGTGCCCAGGACCACCTTTCTTACTTCCAAGCATCTTTCAGGAACCCCTAGGGAAGTGACTAGTTTCTGATATGGTCTAAACCCTGTGATGTGTCAAATCTCACACAAATTAAAAAATTGTCCAGTTTCTGACTTGGGCCAAAACCCAACACGCAACAACATACCAGACAAATCTCAATAAATACAGGGTTTTATTATTATTCCACCCTTCCCAACGAGGAGCAGGAGGACGAGTAGTTCAAGGCTTTTTGTTAAAGCCGCGCATCAATCCCGGAGACAGCCATGGTTTTGACTCGGGTTTTGACGTTTGAAATAGAACGGCCAAAAATAGACCAACCGGTGTGCGTACGCACACAATTTGATCTATTTTGGCTTGATCCTTTTAATTTTAGCTGGTTCAAATGTGTCATGAATTTGGATCTAGATCAGACCACCCTAAGGGTTGGTCTAAATACAAAACGTCAAATTACAAAACGTCAAATTACAAAACGTTGAATGACAAAAGGTCGAAAGGAAAAAAAAGTCGAAGTGACAAAGGTAAAAGTGGTAAAAGGTCGAAGGGAAAAAAGATCGAATGGAAAAAGAGTCGAATGATTAGAAGGGGGGCAAAAGTTCGAAAGAGCAACATTCGAATGATGAGAAGGGGGACAAAAGGTCGACAGGAACAAATGGTCGAATGGTTCAAAATGGGGCAAAAGGTCGAATGGACTAAACGTTGAATGGTGGCAAAAGGTCGAATAA